GGGTGTGGTGGGTTGAGACAGGGAAGGAAAACAGGCCCCAGCATTGCTTGCTTCCATGCCTTGTATACAGGCAAGTCATGAGTGGCAACTTCGGTGAGACACTGGCTTGGGGTCCAAGATGTCCTGAAAGTGGCAGGTCACTCACGGCTCAAGTACTCAAGCAACTGATCCAGAGCCAACGACCTTGGGAGCAGGCTGAAGAGCCACCCTCCTGAAGCAGGCTGCGGCTTGCTTCTTGAACTGAAATGTGATTTGACCATTTTTCGGGCACCCCAGTCTTGTCCTAGGACCCCCTTTTTTTTAGCCTCAACTGCCACAGGGGAGCTTGGAACTGTGTCTCAGCTCTGGTGTCTCTGGAGGGCCCTGTCATAGGCAGAGCTCTCTGGCAAGAGAAGCTGGGGAGCTTCACTCCACTTGAGGGATCTCCTGTGTCCAGGGCCAGCCCTCCTCCCTTATCCGTGGGTTCTAGGGGTGCGGAGAGGGCCATGTGGTGGCACTGACTCTCAATGGCCGGGCTTCCTGGGGACCGACTTTGGGTACATATCATGCAACTGCTTTTCCGTGGTTTCTGTGCACAGGGCAGCCCAGTCCCACCCTGGAGGAAGGGCCACCCCTTTCCCAGCCTGCCTGCCTGGGGCTGAGCCAGGGCCCACTGAGCCGCTCAGGGCTGCCAGAGCTCCAGGGGAGTGTGAGGGGATCCAGGACCCGTGCTCCCATCCCTCAGTCCCCAACAGTCTTTCTTTCCTTGGCCTCACCCATGCAGTCCTGTTCCTCTCAGTGGGAAACAGACTGCAGTTAAGATGCAGACCTTTTTGAGAGAAAAAGGTAAAAAGGTATAAGGTTGTGAGCACTCTTCTCCTCAGTCAACAGTGCCCACCCGGTCAGGCAGAACAGCTGCGGGAGGGCCTCTTTGACAGTGGTGGGAAGCTCCAAGAATCCTCCCCAGAGACACCTGGATAGGGCTGGATGGTGGAAAGAGATTCACATACACATGCCCGGTTGCACACACAGGCTTGGGACATGGGCCAGTTCTGAGGCACTACTCGTAAACTAGGGATGAGGTTTTCCCCAAGGGAGGTGGGCAGCTGGGTGCCCCTCAGCCCTCAGCTTCTTGCCTTGACCCATCTCTGTTTCTCTTCATCTGGATTCTATCCCCTAGAGAGCCACATCCCTAGAGTTAGGGGCAGTGGGAGGAAGCGCAGCCCACATCCCTGAAGCCTTCAGGCTCCATCCTCTTTGGGTGAGGTCCAGCCAGTCACCTCATCCTGCCTGCTCTCCTTGTCCTGATCTCACCCTCTCTTCCCCTAAAGGGCAGTCTTTCCTCTGTCCTTTCTCCTCTTTTGAGACCAGGACGTTTTCCGTCCTATTTGCTCTGCTCCTTCTGTACTGTCTTCAGATAGAACCTCAGCATTTACTTCTCTGTTTCTGCCCATCTGTCTCTCCTGAGTTGGGAGACCTGTGAGCGGTTAAGACCGATAAATAGTCCTTTGTTTTGATGCACTCCCCAGCAGCCACGGCCCAAAGCAGAGGCAGCAGGGAGCAGGCAGCCACCCCTCACTCAAGCTGAGACATCTTCCTCTTTCCTCCTCCCCAGGCCCAGCTTTCTGGTGCCGAGGAAGCACCGTATTGGTGATACTCCAGCCTCACTCCCTGTCTTTGTGGTCCCCTTCAGGAGCTCCCCCAAGACTCCATTGATCATCATCTGAGCTGTCCCTATCTTCTTGAGACCAGCCCCTCGGCCTCTGCCTTTCAACTGGGGACACCAAGGAGGCAGCTTCCGGGCACAAACCTGTCCCCTATAGCACTGACATTCCCTAAACCCAGAACCTAGGCGTTCCCTTCTCCCCTTCCCCGAGTCCTCAGCTGGTTGGTCTTAGGAAGCCTCTGAACCACATCCCTGCTAAGCTCATATGGCCATCAGAACACCTTCAGACCAGAGGTCTCCAGCATCTGGCGGCATTTTCCCACTGTATCCTAAGTCACCACATAGTTTTCTTTTCTCCAACATCGGTGCTGCCCAAGAGAAAGACCCTGATAATAGGCATGAGCGTTTTGGTTTTAGACTATAAATTCCTGAGTGGGCAAAGAACTTTCTGGTTTCCAACTTCCTATGTGCCTGGTCACAGGGAACACCCACTGTTTCCTGATTGACTCTCGTGGAGAACTTTTGGATGTTGGCTTCCTCTCATTAGCTGCATTTACCCATGAGAGCAGGAACTAAGGGGTGTGCCTACCTTAGCCATCCACCTGTACCCTGTATTTCCCTCTTCGTTCTCGGCATGTCAATCTGCCCTTTTCCACTACCCAGGAAGGTACTTGAATGCAAGAACTTCGTCTCATTCATTTTGGTATCCTCGCTGCCCGGCAAAGCTCAACAAATATTAGATAAAGCAACGAGCGTATGGATGGGTGAATTCCTGAACAAATGTCAGAGGAGACTGGCAACAGGGAAATGCAAAGGGAAGTGAACAGCATCCTGGCCAGGACACCACACCTGCCAGGATGCCTGCTGGTTGGGTCTGTTAAAGTTTGGTTTATATACAAAGACTTGTAATGGACTTCCCCACAAAACCCTTTACTGCTGTCTCTCTACACGTGTGAGAACGATACATCAGCAGTACCACAGTTAGATACACCAGAGTCCTCCCTGAAGAGAAATCCTACATCTTTCTCCTCCTGCTGGGGAAGGGGAGCACTGAGCAATGTGGGAAGCCATTCATTTCCTTCATAAAGACTTAGATACTTCCTCAGATGTCTGATTCTGGTTTTCAACTCCAGTTATGGCCTTGTCTCCACCCAGGGCACCTGAGATAGCAGAGTTGGCCAGCAGAAGGACTGTGTGAGGGGTCCTCTGGGCCTGAGGGGGGTTCCCCCTACCCCCACCCCCTGGGGTTGGAGGAAGGAAAAGTGGAGGTGCTCCTGTTAGGGTTTTGGGAGCAGCCTCACAGGGGCTCTTGGAGAGGGGGCATGCCTTGGTACCCCCTCTCCTGCCTACTCCATGCTGTGCCCACAAGGCTTCAGGAAGCCTCCCCAGAGGAGGAAGTTCAATCTCCTCCACCTGGGAGCCGTTTCTGAGCCTCCCTCATACCCAGGCTCCCCATGAGCTTCCCTGGAGGGGAGACCAAGGCTAGAGTCTGAAGAGTCCAGGAAGTCCTAAAACCTGCCCCCTTCCCCTGAACTAAGGTACCAGATGCTCAACCCTCCACCATTATGGGGGTATTTCCTGGCCATTCAGCTGGTCACTATTAAGCTATCATTTCTCTCTGGAAAGGATGCCTAGTCCCCATCCCTCTACTGCACTTTCCTAGGTTCAGTTCCCTTGTTTCTTGGGTAAGACTTCTGGGAGGGTTGGAGGAAGAGGCAATGAGGGGACAGGAGAAGAGCACTTTGGGCTTCCTGTCCTGCCTTGGGTGGCTCCCTTCACTCACTGTCTCCTGCCTCTGACTGGAGCAAAAAGAAAATGCCTGCAGGTCCCAGGGCCACCCTGCCAACCACGGCTGGTCCAGTAGGCTCTTTCTTCTGCATTTCGGCCCTGGTTCCTGATTCTACCTCTTCTGAGTCCTCTTCTGATTCACCCTCTCCTTCTTCTTCCTCGCCCCTACTCTTCTTGGCTTCCCATCACTTGCCCTCTCTTTTAGTGTTCCTGTCCCTATCTCACCAAGGGCTCTCTCCTGTCTGTAATTCTACTTAATCTCTGCAACTTTTTCCATTCCCTCCATTCACCCAGGACACTTTGCCCTCACAGTTTCTCCTTTCCTCCTATGTATCTGTCTCTTGATGACCCATTGTCCTTTTATAGAAGCTGAGGCTGAGGCTTGTCGGGGGTGATGGCCTACATGGGAGAGCAGGACTTAGTAGACAAGGCCCTGTATCCTTGCCACCCTGGCCTCTGCCTTGCCCCTCTTCCCTTTTGCCCCAGTCACCCGCCCAAAGGCTCCAGCTCTGTGTCCAGTGGGGGAGCCCCTTGGGGAGTCCCAGAGTCTACTATTTCGTACCCATCACCCTTACCCACTTCCTTGCTGTGGCAAACCCACAGCCACCCTGTATATTGTATATGTATACTTGTTTCTATTTGTATATAGATAAACAAATTTAAGAATCTGCTAAAGGAGGAAGCCTCACAGGTATGCAGCCTGACAAGTTATCAAGTGGGTCTCTTTGAATCCCTTTTTGCTTCTAGGAGAATTGTGAGCCATGGGGTGCCCCCCTGCAGACCCCAGAGCTGCTGCTCCCCCCAGGTGTGCAGGACAGTTTGTAGGAGGCAGGGACCGTTGGCTGCCCAGACTGCTGCCTTTCCCCCACCCACCCAGTGGCAGTTGTGCCCGTTGTGTCTGTTGGAGCTTCCGGGGCAGCCCACAGTGTTCTGAGCATGTGCTGGCAGTTGCTCTGCAGAGCACCCAGTTCACTTCTCCCATGTAGTTCCTAACTGAGGGACTCTCCTGAAGAAGGGGCTTCCAAATGGTTAGCCCAGGCATCCTCTTCAGACCAGGCTGCTCCATCTCCATTAAGCCCAGGAATCGACTTGTGTATCTTTCTGGGTTCCTCATCCTTTGTGGCAGCCTGAGCTTCAGGAAAGGAAAGGCATGAGGAGTGGCCTTGGCTGGGATGTCAGGGGCCCAGGAAAGCTCCTGCCTCTGCCAAGAAACTGCTCCCTCTTTCCAGAGGCAGTTATGAACCAGCGGCATTTCTAAGTCTTTTAAGGTGAGTTATCAGAGCCCCTTCAGACCAGTGGCTGGGGCCGGGCGTGAGAGGCAGGTGGTAAGGGCAGAGAAGCAGGCCCTGTGCAGTTGAGCTGACTAGAAGGGCTGGGGAAAGGAGCTGAAAACACCCCAGATTTCTCAAATGGGCTTGGAGAGATCCCAGCACTGAGGCACTACCCACTCAAGCCAGAGATGAGCTTTTTCCAAAATCCAAGTCCATGAGGCCGGACCACAGGACTCTCATTCCAGGTGGGGTCCTGATGCTAAGGGGATATCCTGATACCCCTGTGTTCTCTCCTGTAGAATCTTGTCCCAATTGTTCCCATAAGCCATGACATGTCCCTGCAGCTGGAGGCCTTTCAAGGACAGCATGGGAGGCCTCACAGGCCCAGTGTGGCCTGTAAAGGAAGGTAAATCAGTGGCAGGGCTGAGTCTGTGCCTCAAAAGCTAACACTCCTGTTTCTTGACTTCCTCCCTTCTCCATTTCCTGAACCTGGATGGATGCTGACAGGGATGGTGGGAGGGATGAGACAGGACCTCATTCATTTGTTAGGAGATCCAGAGTGCAGCCTCTCCATTGCCTTGGTTACCCCCTTCCTCACTTCCAAGTGCTGCTCATGCATATATACTTATTGCTCCCTTTTCCTGAGATGGTACCTAGCCTCCTTTAAGAACTGTAAATGGGAGGAGCCTCTTCAGTGAGAGCTCAAAGCATAGTCAGCTGCCTACGACTGAGCCTCCTCCCTTCCTGCAGCCTCTGCAAGTTCACTCTGGCCTTTCTTATCCTAGGTGGCCTCCAGTCCTTTGTCTCTGTTTTTGCCTTTGATCACAGCTTCTCTCCAGTTGTCCCTTTGGCTTGGCAGCATCATCCAGCAGCTCCTCAGTCTGCATCTGTTACAGGTGTATGATGATAACGATGCATGCTCTCCACAGAGTGGCTGGATGGGCCTTGGACAATCACTCAGGTACCCACATGCGTTCTCCAGATAAACTTTCCTCTGTGTATATGGAGAGAGAACGTTTAGGGATCACTGTTCTTCTCACCCATTCTCTCCGTTTTCCTCTCGGTCATCTGAGATGTCTTTCTCTGTGTGCCATTCTGCCTCTAATCATCATCTTTTTTGTTTGTTCACAGCGAAAAACTCTTCTCAAGGAAAGATCCAAAGTGTTCAAAGGTGAAGGGTGCCATCTTCTTCTTCACTGATTCAGAAGATACGGAGAACTGTCCCATTTCACCCATATTCCTGACCCCGATTTTCAATAGTGTTCCTAACCCAAAGCTCTTCCATTGGCCATCATGGAGTTAGCTAACAGCCCAGGGAACTGGTCTCTTTCCCTTTTCCCCTTATCACCAGGCACTCAACTGGAAAGGGCAATCAGATGGCTCTATATCAGACCCCACCACCCGGTCTTTGAAATTTATGTCCTACCAGTGCCACAGCCCCCTCCCCCACTTCTGCACTACTCCCAAGAGAGACCCATCCTCAGCAGCCTAGTATGTGATGCTAGTCCCGGAATGCTGTATTCTGGATGTCTACTCAAAGCCAAACTCCAATTACTGTCTTTTTTCCCTTTATTCAAGAACAATGCTAGCATCTTTTCATTGCCTACATCTCTCTTTCTCTAGAGCTCCTGGAGGGCAAGACACTGTTTCTCATATATTTCTGGATCCTTGGAGCTTAGCTCAGAGCTTGGCATAGATGCTCAGCATGAGCTTTTCTGAATAAAATAATTTCAAATGCCACATACCAGATATTGATTTTTTTTTCCCTGAAATTAGAGCTGAAAGGAGCTGAAAGCAAGCTGGGGGGCAATCCTGGTGTGCTCAGGGAGAAAAATGAGAGGGATGAGGGCTGTGAGACAGTCATGCATGTGTTCAGAAGGGGATTTAAGAACCAGTGTGCCTACTAGGGCAGAGTTAAGACTCAGCACACACAAGGCTGATCTTGAGGGCGCTTCATGAATTTCAGATTCAGGGACAATTATAGATCTTGAAGCGACCTATCACAAGTGGCAGTTGTTGCAAAAACACTAGAAAAAGACAAATCTCATCACGCTGATTAAAGAGGAATTTCACTCTCTGCCTAGGTAAGGCTCTAGAAATCGTGGGAATAGAACTCAGATTTGAACTATTTATCAGCCTACTGTCTCTACACACCTTTATGCCACACAATTCCATTTCCATTTTGTTCAGAGAGGGCTAGGTTTCTAGTTACTGATTCACATGCTAAAATCTTAAAAACGATTTCTGAATCTCTAACTGCACAAGTTTCCAGGTGAGATGAATATGATGAATTAGCTTCTGCAATCCAAAATTCTCGTGTGTGTGTGTGTGTGTGTGTGTGTGTGTGTGTGTGCTGGTTCAGGGACAGGCATGCATGTGTTAAGGTGGCTTAAGCTCGTGTGTGCCAGTGTGCTGGATTCAATGCACTCTGCACAACCCTGGCCACCACGTTGCCACCTCTGTTGCCTCACCTACTGGAGATCTTCACACTGGTGATGGCTGATCAGAGTATGCTGCTGGAAAAGACATCAACATCAAGACCAGGGAGAGACAAGAGCACAGAGATCGATGAGCAGTGACTGACACTGGCAGCCACCAAGGCCTGTGGCATTGGCATCTTCCATATCTCTAGATCTTCCCTGTGGCATCCCTCTTCTCTGTTCTCACTGCCAGTGTTTGGACTGGGACTATCAGCTCTTCTAAACCTACTCACCCATCAGTCTCCACACTTTCCTCATATCAGTCTTTCCAGAACTTAGGCCTATGACCAAGTTCCTCACAAGCTGCAAGCCACATGGGACTTTCTTCTGCTCCTGCTCACTGCTGTGCCAGTCCCTATCTTGTCTCCTAATTACCCTCAGGTCCAGCTCAAGTCTTCCCTTTCTTATAGGAATGATTAGCTTTATGTGTCACTTGGGATAGGCTGTATCACTTTGTTATTCAATGGAATGTGGATCTACATGTGAGACAACTGAGAGGGCTTTCTTATTAGGCAAGCATGGGAACTTCTCGGAGAGTAAGGGAATTTCTCTCCCTCCCCTTTCTCTTTTCTGCCTCATGTCCGAGCATAGGCTCTAATAAAGTCAAAAAAACAGTAAGTCATTTAGGAGTTATATATACCAAGTGCTTGATGAATCCAGATGATGCCTTTTTCAATTTTGCAAATGACAGTATATTAATTAGGCCAATTAGGGCTTTCCCGAAACTACAGAACCAGTAAGGTAGATAAATGATAGGTAGGTAGGTAGATGGAGAGATTAAATAGGTAGGTAGGGAGAGAGAGAGAGAGATGATAGGGTTTTATTCAAATAGTAGGCTTACACAGTTGTGGGGTTTGGCTGGGTAAGTCAGCACAGCTCATTCTGCAAGCAAGAGTCTGCCTTCCTTTCACAGAGTTCTGTGGAGGAAACAGGCAGCTTGGGGAAGTACAGAAGTTTGGAGAGGTTAATTGCTGGTCACTTCTGAGGTTGAATGCAGGTTCTGCTTTATGTCTAGCCCAGGTCCAGACTCAATAAAAGCTCGCATCATCTCCTAAATTTTTATGTTAAAACATTTCAAGCCAGGTGCAAAAGTAGGTGCAGTGTCATGTGCAGTGGTGCATACCTGTAGTCCCAGGATACTTAGGAGGCTGAGGCAGGAGGATCTTTTGAGCCCAAGAGTTTGAGGCTGTATGGTGCAATGGTTGCACCTGTGAACAGCCACTGCACTCCAGCCTGGGCAACATAGTGAGACCCTGTCTCAAAACAAAAATTTCAAATTTACATAAAAGGTATACAAATAGAACAATCAATACTTATACAGTCTTCACTGAGATTTATGGACTATTAACAATGTAATTCCTTTGCATGTGCATTCTCTCTCCCTCTCTCTCTCAAATCTACTTATAAAGTCCATATTCGCATGTCCTCCATGTCCCAATAATGGTCACTTTATCTTTGCAGCTTCTTCACCATATCAACCTTAAGTCCACTTGGCCCTCTCTCACTTTGCCCTTTATTTCATGTCCTTCAACACCACAAGCCTCAGACCCATGGCTCACCCACTCCTTGTCTCTCATACTCTGACCATCATGAACCCCTGCCTGTTTCCTCCGCTGCCTCTTCTCCCACCCTTTTCCACTGCTTAAACCTTTCCGTTCCACCCTCTAGAATTCACAGCCCATCATTAGCCAGACTCTCTAAGTTCTCACTTTCTTCTTACATGTTTACTTTTTTTTTAATAGGTGGGGAATTCAATCAAGAACCATGTATTGCCGATCTCTTGAGCTTCTGTCAACCAGTAAGTAGTTTTTGAATAAATTTAGGCATTAGTTCTTTGAGCCCTAGTTTCATATTTCTTAAGATGGAAATTAATGACAATAATAATGGCATACATGATTGTTAACAAAAGACACATGAAAGTGCTTTAGACGTTGAGAAGCAAGCCAAGTAAGTTTTATTTAGATAGCTGAAGACAGAGTTCAAGTTTTATTCATCTTTTTATCTACCGTACGTCGTATGGCGCCTGGAGTCCAGGCTGACCTCGGTGTTATGACTGATTAGACTCAGGCGTTCGTGAACATGAGAGCAAGACCATTTCCCACAACAGCTCAATTGTTGGAACTCACTCTCTTCAGTAATGTAGACACTGCAACATTAATATCACAAACCAGAGATTTCAACTAAGTATTTTGTTTCATTTAGAATTTGAATTCACTGAATTTTTTTCCCTAAGAGTTGGCTTTCACTGTGGAGTCAGAATTGACTCTAGAGAGTAAACAAACCATGTCTTATTTTTATAGTTTTTTTCAAAGAACAAAACCCAAGTCAAATTTCTGTTTAATGATTAAAATATAGAGAATTTATTATTGGGTCTCCCTGCATTCCATTTTTGTCTCCAAAAAATACCCATCATTACACAAAATACCCAGAAGTTTGATGACTTTTGTTCTATCTATTTTTACTTGTCAACTCAGAACAATATTTCATTCCAGTTTAGATGGTTTTCTTCGTGCACCTCATATTTGGATGGATATAGTCACCATGCCTGATGTTGGAATCCTAATAGTCTAATATTTTGCTAAGAGGGGAAGAGAGAGGGAAGGAAACAAACATGTACAAAAGACCTTTCCATCTTCTTTATGGAAATTATCAGCTTTACGCATTGAAAAGACCTGGTGCAGTCTGTATTATTTCTCAGGAGGAAAGTGAGACTGGGAGACTGGGACATTAACAGAAGATCCTGTGGCTGAGAAGCTCTGTTGATTTCCACAGCTCACGCTTTCCACTCTTTCACATTCTTTTTTTGTTTTTTCTTTTTCTTTCTGTCTTTTCTTTTCTTGCTCTGTCACCCAGGCTGGAGTGCAGGGGCGCTATCTCAGGTCACTGCAACCTCAGCCTCCTGGGTTCAAGGGATTCTCCTGTGTCAGCCTCCCGAGTAGCCAGGACTATAGGCGCGGACCACCAAGCCCAGCTAAGTTTTGTATTTTTAGTAGAGATGGGGTTTCACCATGTTGGTCAGGCTGGTCTCAATCTCTTGACCTTGTGATCCACCTGTCTTGGGTTCCCAAAGTGCTATGATTACAGGTGTGAGCCACTGTGCCTGGCCTTTCACACTCTTTTCACGCCGCTTACCACACTCCCTTCTGGAAAGTGACCAAAGGCGTATGTTTCTCAGATTCTCTGTCAGGCTGAGCAAATCATGTTTTGTCACTTTCCCAACAAGCCACTCCACACTAATTACATTTACTCATGCTATAGTAAGCATGGATTCAGATAACACCTTTGCTATAATCCAATAATGTCCAGTGTGTGGGGTTTAGCCTCACTTTTGTCTCTGTTCATTTTGTCGTACAGAGTTATGACCCCAGGAAAACTAGTGGTCTCCAGAGAGAAGATTAGTACACTAAAATTAATAGACATGAGAAACCTCTTAAATATTGTCAGCATTTATAATTTAAAATTGTCATGTTTATTCAATATTGGAAAGTGTACAAGGTGATCTTGGCTATACATTATGACCTTTAGCCGCATCTGTACCAAGTGAACCATATTGTGTGGTAACATTTTAATTTCATATAATTAAACAGTATTAATATTATAAAAGCAAAAATGTTTTTAAACCTGCATTAATCATCTTGTTAGAAGAAAATAAACAATGTTTCTCTCTCATTATGTTGTTACCTACTAATTAATGAGATGAATCAAATTTTCCTGTTTCTCTAGATTTGCATGAGCTTAAAATACCTTTTCATCTACATTAGGTAGAATGTCAGAACTAGCTTTTGGATTATTTTAAAGCTTGGTAAGATCACAAGGCTTCCCTGAAAATATGTCCTATCTTGACAATGCATTAAACCTTAAGGAAAGTTTAATTAACAAATGTCAGAATGCATTCCTTCTAAAAAAAAAATGTGATATATTAACAATTCCTTCCTATCTCCTGACTCCAACAACATCTTAACCCTTAAAGAAGAAAAGAGACATTTTATCTCAACATAGCTTTTGCTAACCAAAATTTGATGTTTTAAAATTAAACTACTTATAAACTAATATAAAATAAATGTTTTAAGCATTGAACTGCTTCAGTTTGCTTTTAGATACACATCCCCATTAATTTACAGGTTACTTGTTTACCTAGTTTTGTATTATTAGACACTAATTCTAATCACAGTTTTACGTAGACCAGCTATGGCTACAAAGCTAGTTTAAGGTACTGTATAATATCTCTGCACTTCAGCTTTCTCTCCTGGAACATAGA